TTCGTAGTCTGATACGGGCTTTAGTCCCAGTCTACAATAGATGATTTAAGCCCTAAGCTTTAAGAAATTGGCCAATCACGGTCAAGTATGAGTAGAATGCGCGACTGTGATTAGTCAATTTCTTAAGGCTTAGGGCTTAAATCTCTATTGTAGACTGGGACTTAGTCCCAGTCTACAATAGATGATTTAAGCCCTAAGCTTTAAGAAATTGGCCAATCACGGTCAAGTATGAGAAGAATGCGCGACTGTGATTAGTCAATTTCTTAAGGCTTAGGGCTTAAATCTCTATTGTAGACTGGGACTAAGAATTGACCAATCGCAGTCGATTAGTCCCAGTCTACAATAGATGATTTAAGCCCTAAGCTTTAAGAAATTGGCCAATCACGGTCAAGTATGAGAAGAATGCGCGACTGTGATTAGTCAATTTCTTAAGGCTTAGGGCTTAAATCTCTATTGTAGACTGGGACTTATTCTTACGACTACGACCATTGTAGACAGAACCGAGAATCATTGTAGCGGAGGCTTTAAAGCCCGTATCAGACTACGGATTGAGATTGGGATTAGATTGAAATTTGACCAATCAGAGTAAAAGTTACTGAACTTGAGATTAGTAAACTTTACTGTGATTGGTTAAATTTCAATCTAATCCCAATCCCAATAGTCTGATACGGGCTTAAGGCGCGACACAGCGGCCAATCGGCCCGTTCCTCTTTCAAAAGCGGCTAAACACGTAAAGGCAGAGGATTGGTCGCGTTCAACGCGAATTGCATTGCGAGAGCTGCACTAATCAGCACAACTGCCATATATGACTGCCATACAGAAACGCGACAGAGAGCGAACGAACGAGGGAGAATGCGCGCGCACGCGCGTGCGCTCGTGAGAGAGAGAGAGAGAACCATGTATTTTGCCAGGAGCCCCGGTGACGTCACGGGGTACGGTTTATTTATAAAATCACCGACGACGTTGCTCGCGCTTGGATTCGTACTTTGAGCCTACTCGTGCACCTGGCACGGCACGTCGCACAAGTCGCCGCGGGTCGACGACGTTGTCCCAGTTCTCTTCGCCGTCGCGCTCGTCCTCGGGTCCTCGCGGGTGGCACGTAAGTAAGAATCCCGATGTGAATCCATTAGAATCCGGTGTCTACGTTGAGCTGGACTCGCCGCCGGTCGCCCGGGCGAGAACGGAACGCGCTAACGTGTGTAACCGTCGAAGATACGCTCGGTATTGAACAGCTACTCGGAATATATCTTCGTGGCAGCGTCGTCTCGAGATGACGGCCGTTGCGAAGCCGTTGATAAGCCGTCGGAAGAGCCGTGACGTTTCCTCGCGCTGCCTTCCTTCCCGCTGAACGCGTCTCCATTCTCGCGAGAGCGGATCGCGTTAACGGCGCGTGCGAAGCGTGACAGTCGAGGACGTCGAAGTTTCGAGAACCGATCGGCACTTTCAACGAGTTCTCTCGCGTCGTGTGCATCGCGGGGTGACGTGTCCCCAACCGACGCGATTCAAAATCACGAATGACGTGTCATGCTGTCAATTGCACGTCGCACGCGCTCCTCGGGAAGGACAGTCGTGTCGCGGCAATGTAATTGGCGTGTTGTCTTTCATTGTTGCAATTGTCGCATCCTGTCGCGCAGGTAATTCGCGAAAACGCTGAAAGGAAGGTGGCGAAGCTCGCTTGAGCTGCGCCCGGTCGAAGAGAGATAACGCCGATAAGAAGCGTCGACGAACACTTGATTCCCAAGGTCTCGAGGTGCAACAGTCACACGTGCGTTTCGTCATTCTTCCTCAGGTATCTAGATACAGACGTGGATTAGGAGGCAAACATGAGTCTACAGTGGACGCTCATCGCCGGCTTCCTCTACGTCGAGATCGCGATCGTGCTTCTCCTGGTGCTGCCGGTGGCCTCGCCTACGAGATGGCAGAAGCTCTTCAAATCACGCTTCTTGCAGAGTATAAATAATCAGGCTTCCATTTATTTTGTGATTCTACTGGGCGTCCTAGTCCTCTTCCTGCTGGACGCCATACGAGAGATGCGCAAGTACTCCACCAGCTTGGAGCACACCGACCGCCACCATCAGCTGAACCTCGAGATGCAAGGTAGATTACGTAACTACCTCTTTGCACTTGTACGTTATTCTTTTTATACCAATTCGACTTCATTATCTTCTGGTTTCCCAATGGCGTAGATTGTTCTAATGCTTACATCTTTGTGCGTCTTCTAGAAAACATGAGATTGTTCCGCGCACAGAGGAATTTCTACATATCCGGCTTTGCGCTGTTCCTGAGCCTGGTGATACGCCGCCTTGTCGGCTTGATATCGACCCAAGCTACTCTGCTCGCGCAGAACGAAGCGGCCATGCGGCAGGCCCAGTCTGCGACGACTACGGCCAGGAGCTTGCTGTCCCAGAGGACAGTCGGGGAAAGTGCGCAGAACGACTCCAACGAGGCGCACGATAAAGCTGTCTCGGAACTGAAGAATCAAATCAAGGAGTACCAAGCTAAGAACAAGGAGCTCGAGGAAATTTTGAATAGAGAGAAGAAGGATAAGGAAGCGATAAAGTCGCAGGCGGACTCAGTCGCGAGGGAGTACGATCGTTTGAATAAGGAGCACGCCAAGCTCGCGCAAACCTCACAATCGAGTGGTGATAAGAAAACTGATTAGACAAGGGCGTTGAGATTTTGCCTCGTTTTCCTTCTTAATTATTTTAAACAGCTTAGGACTCATTTGCCCGTGAGTCCTAAAACTTTGTTACGTTATGTTGAATCACCTGTATTGCATAATATAAGCAGGCATCACATTTCGCGGGTTATTATGACGTTTACATACTTTCGTTGGGAGATTGTATACAAATATTACTATTGTGTGGTGGTGTAACGTGCCTCTTAATACACTGTACATCCCCCTTCCGATTTTGTGCACCTGCTGTGCATAAAAGCTCGAACCCATCTTTCTTCATTCGTGATATGTCGTCGTTATTTTTACGAACAGTTAATGTAATTCTAAAAATTCCATAAATTAACGTTTTCGTTATAACTGCTTTGTGTTTCTTCATTTAAATCAGTGGTACAAATCCCGACAGTTATGCTGTCGGCTGTTATAATTTTATATCGCACAGAAAATAACTGATTACCGCACGCTATTCGGCAAGTATTAATAATGTATAAATAGGATATATATTTTACATATGTATTAGACAATATATCTTAAATGTACTTCCAAACATGCATTTGCCACGTTTCCTTGTTTCATATTAGCAATCTTGTATGAAAAAATATATTGTAGAATACATATACAGGGTGTCTGTTTGGGACTTACTTTTTGTGCAGATAGAGGACCAAACTAAGTCGAAAAGTTCTCTGCCATTTTGCAATTTTTGCAATAGTTAACAGAGTTATTATAAAAAATCGCCGTCTTAGCCCGGCCTATCGTCCAGTGTAAAGCGCGCGGCAAGATGTGGCCGGCCTGCGACCGACGTTGCTAGGCACGCAGGGGGTTGTTCATTATATGTAGCTGTTGCAGTTTTTAATAAACGACTTTTGGGCGTGTAGCAACGTTCTAGCGCGGACCGGACGCATCTCGCCGCGCGTTTGTACTGGGAAGGAGGCTGGGGTAAGACGGCGATTTTTTATAATTAAAATAACTCGTCAACTATTGCGAAAATTGCAAAACGCTAGACTTTTCGACTCAGTTTGATCCGATCTATTTACACAAAAAATAAGTCCCAAATACATTTACTGATACCCTGTATGTATATGTATATATTCCATAATATAATGCAAATCTATAGACACGTGGAGATATGAATCTGTAGTTCTCGCGTTAGGCCAAAATAAGAAGATCACACTGTAACTGTAATATCTGTAATCTGCAGCATCGTTTTCTTCCCGTTAAAGAGCGATTTAAAAAAATCTATTCTGGCCGTAATACGATAAAAACGAATCCATTCTGCGAGGAGCCGCCACTGTGCCTCCTTTCGACCCCGAAATATTTCGTGTTTTTAGTTCGAGTCTACAATAGCTGCGTTCGGCATTGCAAATCCGAGACGTCGGAGTGCTCTTCCTCGCTTTCTATCTCATTCTTCTCTCTCGCTCACTCGAATGCAAAAGAGCACTCCGTTGCCTCGAATTTGCAATGCCGAACGCAGCTAATAGAGGCGAATAGATAGCATAGGTGATACAAGTCCTAAGAAACGCATCAGTTGCAGTCGAAGATAAGAATACTCGAGTGGGATTGGTCAATTTTCTATGGCTAAAATCGCCTATTGTAGTCTGGGACCCACTCATACAATGGAGCATCCCAAACGTGAGATGCGCGGGGGCTTACGTGTGAGAGGCACGCGGGCTCGAATAAGATACGCCCCAAGAGGAAACGGAAACTCGACACATTCTCGTCGTTGATCTCGAGCAACTCCAAGTACAGTTAGCTTAAAAGAATACAATAATGAAAGCATGCACATACCTAACATACGCTAACAACTAACTGAACACATCACCCACCCCATAATGGCAACTGAATTTGGAGCACGTCGCCAGAAGCCGCATGGCCGACGACGACTTGGAAATCGAGTGTTCATCAAAACTTTTTATCCCTTTTTAATGTAAATCTCTCTCTTTCCTACCTTCTCAGCATCCACGACAGAATATGATAATTACTACATCATGCAACAATACGTTAACTATATCGCTGCCCAAAGTCCCAAAAGGAAAGGACGACGCGTCCCAGTCCTCTCCTCGTCGCGCATATTCTCACGTAAAGCACATAAGAATCCTGATGCGAGTCCATTAGAATTCGATGAGTGTGACGAGCGAGACTTGCCGGCCGAACGAAACGTGCCGGCGTAGAATTATTCTTTCCCGCTGAACGTATCTTTATTCTCGCGTTTGCCACGCGCGCCAGACGTCACAATCGAGACTTCGAGGACCGACCGACGGGATTTCCAACGAATTCTCACGTCGTGTGCGTCGCAGAATGACTTGTCTCGACCGATCCGATTCAAAATCACGCGTCATCCTGTCAATTGCACGTCACACGTGCGCCACGGAAAGGACAGTCGCGTCGCAGCGATATAGTTAACGTATTGTTGCATGATGTAGTAATTATCATATTCTGTCGTGGATGCTGAGAACCCAGATAACATGCATGTCTAAAAGACATCTTTAAGACGTCTTTAACACGTCTTTTAGACATCTTTTACGCCCGGTCTACAATGAGTTGTTAGTCGTTAGTCAGAAGTCGGAACTATATGTCGGTCCTTTTTCTTCCACCCAGAAAGGAAAAGGATCAACATATAGTTGCGACTTCTGACTAACGACTAACGACTCATTGTAAACCGGGCCTTAGACATACACGTCTAAAAGATATCTTAAAGACATCTTAAAGAAGTCTTGAACATGTCTTTTAGACAAGCATGTTATCTGGGCATGAACTGTTCTAGTTCGCTTCGTCTTCACGATGCATATTCTGCATTTTCTGCATAATTATTATAAAATTATCGTTATTTCAGTTAATAAATTTTATGTCACAGCATCATAAAATTCTATCGCTGCTTACATTCGGATAAAAGAAACATACTCTGTTTGGACTTAACAATATTCATCTCGTGAATGTAACAATAATTTTATTATAAATCACTATATATATGTATATATATATATATATATTCATTTATTTTTTACATTTTTCCTCTTGTACTGTTCGCTGTACACTACTTTCCGTCAGCGACAATTCCGCTGAGATAAGCATTTTAGGCATTACACTTTGATGTATAATTTATTATTTATCAACTAAATGCCCTTCGAAGATGCCGTGATCTACGAGACGCGCAAGTAGAATGTATTACGAGCGCGTTTCGATCATGCGTGTGTAGTGCACGTTCCAGACACAATTGGAAAACTCTTCCACCAAGTTCGAACAGTTGAGAGTCTCCTTGGGATGGTCCTGGAAACACTTCAGGACTTTATTACTGTTCTCCAAACACGGTTGCACTGTATTCTGAATATCGGCAATTTTCTGTCCTGTAACGATATTTATATTAAGTTAAAAAGTTACTGCATACATTGTACAAAAGTTTTGTTTAGTTTTAAAGCACTGTTATAATTTCTTGCTTTGATTATCAAAGCGGCAACATCTATAAATTATCAAGGAACTTTATTTGTGCATTATCAAATATCTCATTGCATTCTTGACGTCAATGGTTGCAGTTTGCAGAAAAAGCAGTTCCTCGTTGGATTTCAGTATAAAACAATCGCGTTAAAGAATTGGCGCTTACTAAGCTGCCTTTTCTATCAAACGTAATCCAAGAAACTATTCAACGCAACAGCTCGATACATATACGTGACGCAACTGCAGAAAGAATGGGAGAATAAATCAAACTGTTAAACGATATCAAAGCTGACCGGGATTAGCAACGGCGGTCTCGACAGCTGCCTTCTTGTACTCGTCCTCCAGGACACGATTGACCTTTTGGTAACCGTGCTCCAGTTTCTGCAGGCGTTTCTGCCAGTACTGATCCTGCCGTTTCAGCTCCTCCTCCATTTGCTGCTGCATTCGTAGAGCGGACACCGTCAACTCCGGATAATAATATACCGGCTGCCCGGGCGCCGCTTCGCTCGGCTGGGGCGCGACGGCCGTGGCACTGGGTGACGCCGAGTGCTGGGGGGTACCGGGTCTCCGGGCGTCCGACGGTGGCTCGCGGGCCCTCGCTCTCTCGCTCTGAGCAAGACGCTGGACGATCGCGTTCGAGACCTTGATCACCCCGACCTCCTCCTCGTTCGAGATGGTGAGCTTGCGGGCGCTCTGGCCGGAGCCCATCCTCGGGATCCTAACGCGGCGGCCCGCGAAGAAGCCCGCAACTTCGCACGTCTGCAAAACAAGCGATTCGCCGATTTCGCTCTCTCCGCCGCCGCGCCGACACGTCGCTACCCTTGTCCTTTACCTCGCGAGGCCTTGTCCGTCGTCCCGGTTCGTTGACAGCAGCCAGCCGTCTTCCGCCTCATCAAAGTGAAGTTACATAAATACTCGGATCATACCTTCCACAACCCTCCACGACGGTAGTGCCGCACGGCGACTTTCCGCTGCTCCTGACTCCTGAGTCCGTGCTCCTTCGAGCCGACTCGAGTGAACGTAGCTGCACAGTATAACCTGTATGCCAACTCGTTCTTTTGTTTCT